AGAGTGCTGTATCGTCAGCCTAGCTCACAGCAACCTCAAACTCCTGGCCTCAAGCAATTCTCCAGCCTCAGCCTCCTGAGTAGCTGGGACTACAGGCGCACACACCACCATGCCCAGCAACTTTTTCTATTTTTAGTAGAGATGGGGTCTCGCTCTTGCTCAGGTTGGTCTTGAACTCCTGACCTCAAGCAATCCTCCTACCTCAGCCTCCCAAAGTACTAGGATTACAGGTGTGAGCCACCACACCTGGCACTTAATTTTTTTTTATCAGCATTTTGTGGTTTTCATCATACAAGTCCTGTACATGTTTTGTTAGATTTATACCTAGGTATTTCTTTTTTCGAATGATTCTAAGTGGTGTCATAGTTTTAATTTTAGCATCATTAATGACATTTCAAGAACGGTTTGAAGGAAGTAATACGGATGGAAGCCTGATTGGAGTAGGTTGAGGAGAGAGAGCTGAGGAAGCAGAGACAGCAGCTATAGGCCAAGAGTTGAAGACGTTTTACTGTGGAGGAAAACAAAATGAGGAGGTACCTTAGGTATGGACATGAGGTCAAAGTAAAGATTTTTGTGAGTGTGTGCACAGTGTGTGCACGTGTCTGCGTTTAAGCAGGCTGGGTTCATACTGTACAGACTCTTTGGTAACCTGTGTTTTTCACCTAACATAACATGGCTACCAGATATACTTGGTGTTCTTAATTTGTTGAAGGGCTTCCCTGTTGTAGGATAACAGTGAGTTGTCTTGTTTTGTTTTTGTCTTAATGTAAGTTTTTCTTGCTTAGGTTAGCACTTAATTACTGTGCTTAAGTCAAGTGACTGGGGGACAAAAATTTGTTATATAGGAATAATGAACCATTAGTTTGCTGATTGTTGAGGGAGCAATTCTACTCCAGGTTTTTCTTTACACAACAGATTCTTCCTGGAAAATGTTACTCTCTAGGCTGACAGTTGCTAGTAAACATACGCTTCTTTTATTGCTGTCCTTATGTTGGATGATTTAAGCAGTCCTAAACTTGTCCTGTGTGGTAACTGCTGCAACTAAAATGTTGTGTACACTATTCTAGATTATAGCTTCATTTTAAGATGGGTCAGATATGATTTAATGCTCTCTTAAATTTCTTTTTTATTCTGGCAACACTGTAGCATTCTATCTACTGGAAATTTCTTAACTAACCTTTTAGGCAAAGATTATTAGTTATATTAATATATTCCTCTTTGATCTCCCCTCCCGGGTGGGGGGGGGCTTTTAAAAAAATTTCTTGTAACCACAGAAGCTTATATACTGTTGCAGTAGCTGCTGGGCATGGTGGCTCATGCCTGTAATGCCAGCACTTTGGGAGGCTGAGGCAGGAGGATTGCTTGAGGCCAGCAGTTCAAGACCAACCTGGGTAACAAAGCAAGACTGTATCTCTACAAAAAATTGGAAGATTAGCCGGGTGGCGGGCCTGTAGTCCCAGCTACTCTGAAGGCTGAGGTGGGAAGAGTACCTGAGCCCAGGAATTTGAGGTTACAGTGAACTTGATTGCACCACTGCATGACAGCCTGGGTGACAGAGTAAGACCCTGTCTCCAATAAAAAAAAACATTGTCGCAATAGCAAAGGAACAGAAAAGAATCTGCTTGTAATCTCAAAGCCGCAGAGATGGCCAAGCACAATTAACATTTTGACATATTTCCTTTTAGACTTTCTTATTTGCATTTATTTAGTCATAAGTGAAATTGTGCATCTTATGTTTAAAAGCCATTTGTGTTACATATTTTAGAAATGAAAATATAGAGAAGTATAAGGAGTAAAACACCCGTATTCCCAATATCCAGAAGTACAACGTTAAAATTTTCATGTTTGACTATGTATTTTCGTAAGTTTAGTCATTATTGTATATACAACTTTGTATCTCATTTTTTTGCTTTACATTATATATATTTCTCTGTGCTTATGAAAATGTTTCATAGGCATGATTCTCATTATTTGCATTATAATGCAATGCATGGGCATACCATAATTTATTTACCTATTCCCCTAGGGTGGTTATTTATATGGTAGCCAGTTTGGTAGGCTTAAAAATTTTGTGAGCCACCGCGCCCGGTGGCTCACACCTGTAATCTTAGCACTCTGGGAGGCCGAGGCGGGCGGATTGTTTGAGCTCAGGAGTTCGAGACCAGCCTGGGCAAGAGCGAGACCCTGTCTCTACCAAAAATAGAAAGAAATTAATTGGACAACTAAAAATATATAGAAAAAATTAGCCGGGCGTGGTGGCGCATGCCTGTAGTCC